ACTACTCCTGGAACTCTGGACACATATGCTCGAAATTCCTCATTATAAAGGAACCGGCTCGTCCCTGACGCGACGCACATTCCACAACCAACCCTGCAGAAGTTCGACAAGATTGGCTACGAATTAGTCCTGCGAACATCCTACTCGGTAGACCTTTTGCCTATAATTTGTCACTTTCTCGACTACCTGGATAGCTTCTCCAAAAAGTTATGCTTCAAAAACCAACATGATGCGGAAACGACCTCCGCCGGGTTCATCGTCTCTAGAGCTCCAGTATTCTGCACTACCGGGCTGATTCAACGCAGCTATTATTGGCAGAGGTTTGTGGATTCTAACAGTCTTTACTCCAATCAAAAAGGTTTCGAATGAGCCGAGATACAGGCATTTGAAAATCAAGGTCGAAAAGCGCAAGAACTTTCTTCACGACCTAATAATAAGGATGAGAATTCGTGACAGTTGGTTTTTTAATAAGGTATTAGCAACACCATTATTATTGTTGCTGGATTCAAAATACTAATATATCGAGTCTTCTAAGGGGGAATTACCTCCCGGAGCGTTCATAGTTGGCGATCGTACGTGCGATTAGGCGATTAGGCGATGATTCAAAAAAGAAAAGTATACGTATCGATTAGGCGATTAGGCGAGTAGGCGATTAGCGATTAGGCGAGTAGGCGAGTAGGCGATAAGAGAAGGATGTGTATTGATTTGATGCTCCGCCCATCGAGCGATCGCCTAATCGCCTAATCGCCACTCGCCTACAAACGTCTATGGGCGGTGCAAACCAATCAATACGTAAGGGGTGCTCCCCACCCAATCGCCTAATCGCCTAATCGCCTACTCGCCTATGCGCCTAATCGCCCAATATATACGTACATTTTTCATTATAGACTAATCGCCAAATCGCCTACTCGCCTAATCGCACTTGCAATCGCCAACTCTGAACGCTCTCCATAATAAGCCTCTAGACTGAAAACTTGTCAAATTGAAAAGGTGAATCACTAGTCAAGAGTAGAAGCTGACCTTAGCAAAGTTGTAGAGTAAAGACCGTGGAACCCGATTAGGGTATACATTAACCCAGTTGTCCCTATCGAATCTCGATTGCTCATGGAACATACCCAGTGCGTGCGCAACTTCGTGGGACGAGATGCCGAACTGAAATAAAGTTATTCCACAATGATACAACGATAAGTGGGTAGCGTGCACTGAAGGCAGCCAAAAGTATATCTAGTTCCACAGTACTACTGCCCCGCCTCGACTCACAGGTTCACAGCCGGGTCCAATAGAGACGATCTGCTGCCGTTGCCACGCGGCTCTCCCCACTGTACTCCAACAGCCTTCATCATGCCCGGTGAATAGCAGATAAACCTTAAAGCTTAGCGATCATCTTGATACAAAAAGATGAAGAAGAATGGATGAAAGAAAAAAGGAAGTAAGGAGGATGGTGATTACCGACTCTCTCTTACGGCGTCTGAACCGAATACAAGTGTGATGTCTGAAGAATTGAATTGCAGCTAGAACTGAGCGTCGCCCAGCTGGTCCTGCAATTTCGCCAATAAATCATAAAAATCAATCATGCCAATATAAATTATGCCAATCACGTCATAGAAATTTTCACAAACATACTTAAGCTCTTGTGGAAAGCAAACGGAACGCCCGTCTTCCAAATAGTGCCCGGATATTGGCGATTTCGGAAAGCTGTTCGTTTCCGACGAGTGTTTGCGCTACTCACCATGTGAGCAAGTAATGACGTCGGCATACGAATATCCCCTTGGAATAGGATATCTCTGGAAAATTTTCATCAATTTCAATGATCATGTCCAAAGAATGCTATCTCATTGATTGATTTTCTTCCACACGAAGCAGTTACTTGGCTGCCAAGGGAAGGGTGGCGCTTTCACGACGAAAGGTGCGCTGGTTGCTGAGCAGGACTTCGAAAGCGCTCCGCCCCAAAAGCGATCCGCCCACTAGTTTAGTTGGTGATTTGGACGAGCTGCGTTGCCAGCAGCGCACAACTGGAGCAACTCGACTGGAGCACGGTTTGCATGGTGCTGCAAAAGGCGTTGTCGTAAACTCGTCCATACACCGCCGTCTTATGGTTAGCCGCTACCCGTCCTTGAAGGTCATCGGCTAACAAGGGGGTCTCCTGTTTGCGCTTTCTCGACAGATTTCTCTGTTTTCTTTTGCCATTGGAGTACCTTTGAGCGCCTCCATGTCCCCTTTAACCCCCTCTAGAACCTACCGTAATCGCTGCCTTCAGGTGCATATTGATTCACGCAACTATTGTAATATCTTTATTATTTAACCAGCTGAGGTGAGGGCTGAAAAGTTGAAGTAAGATTCTGTAGACATTCAGCATCGCTTCTCAAAGGTGGCTTTGAGGTCCCACCGTAGATGATTTCTGTTGAAAGAAGATTTCTATTTAAGAGCAAATCTCTGTCACCTCGTAACATGCAGCGAAAGTTGTAACGAATACGATTTTTCGCGTAATTATAGGCATCAGATAAACAGGATTGGTTAAATAAACAAACTAATAGTAAAGAAATAAGGTGATATAT